CATCAGCATCAGCATCAGCATCATCATCATCATCATCATCATCATCATCATCATCATCATCATCATCATCATCATCATCATCATCATCATCATCATCATCATCATCATCATCATCATCATCATCATCATCATCATCATCATCATCATCATCATCCCTTTCCTCCATCTCCCCCTCTTCCTCCCTCCGCCCCATCGTTTTTCTCTCCTCTCCCTTGTCCCCCTCCTCCATCTCCTCCCCCCATCCCCCTCCATCCCTCCTCCCCCCTCCTCCCTCCATCCTTCGATCCTCCCTTCCTCCCTCCCTCCCTCCTTCCATCCATCCGTCCCTCCTCTCCTCCCTCCCATCCTTCCTCCCTCCATCCATCCATCGTTCCTTCTGCCCTCCCCGCTCCTCCCGCCCCCCCTCCCTCCGTCATCATTCCAATCCATCCCTGCCTCCCTCCCTCGTGTCTTCCCCAGTCCTCCTCCCCCCATCCCCCTCTCTCCCTTCCCCCCCCGCCCCTCCTGCCACCTTCAGTGCGCAGGTGGGACCGAGACGTCTGAGACCGACGGCGGCGCTTTTAGCTGCGGCGCGGGGCGACCAGGTCGTCGCGCGGAAGCTCGCGTGCGCCACCCCGGGGCCGCGGAGGAGAGGGTGCTGCCACCAGGGGGGCGAAGACGAAGCCGCCGGCGCCCGCGCCTGCTGCAGAGGCGCAGGGCGGGCAGGGAGCTCGCGGCGAGGGTGCCCTCGCGCCGGGCGGGCGAGGGCCCCGAATTCGGAACCGGGAAAAAAAAAGGGCGGGCGCGGCCGCTGCCCTCTCCGGGGAGGGGGGGGGGCGATCGAGGGGAGAGGGCGGCGGCTTAGCACCTGCTGCCGGTGGACCCGCAGGTCTTGCGCACGGTCGCGCGGTCCAGTGACCCCGACCCCTGGGCGCCCCCGTCAACGGTGCGCTCCTGGGCCATCGCAGCCGCAGCCTCCAGGAGGAAGGCCACTGTGCGCACAGGCACCGACCCTGGCCAAAGCCCGTCCCGGGCCCAGGGTCGGGTACGCCCCCCTCCCGGCGAGGCCCAGGGAGGCGCATGAGCCCATCCTGGGCCCAGGATGATGGGCCTTGGCCAGGACCGGTGCAGGCGCACAGCTCTCCTCGCCCGAGGGCCTCGGCGCCCTCGCCGGACTGCCTCTGCAGCAGCGCCTCGGCGGCCGCGCGCGCCGCGGCCGCCCCGGCCTCCGCAGCCAGGTCCGGGATGCTCTTCGGGGCCGCGCCCTTGCCGTCCTAGGGCGGGGCGGGAGGGGGGGAACCCGCCCCTCTGCGTCCGCCTCCACCTCCCCCTCGGCCTCCGCCTCCCCCTTCTGCCTCTGCCTTCCGCCTCCGTCCCTTGGGGGCGGGAGGGAAAGAACCCTCCCCTCATCTTTGTCCCTCCTTCCCCCTTCCCGCCCCTTCCCCCCCTGCAGCTGCCTCCGCCTGCCCCCGCCTCCTGCCACCCAAGGCTGGCCACAACTCGACGGAGAACCAGGCCGACCAGGCTTGGAGGGGACGGCCGACACGGCCCTGGGCGGGGAGCTCCAGAGCGTAAGAGTGCGCGATCGCTGCACTCACTGATGGGGGGCGGCTCTTTTTCGAAAAGGGGCTCTCGCTGGACATTTCCTATGGCTCTATGACCATACCTCGCGGCACCTCTTGTAACTGGCAAGATGGGGATCTCTCTCAACACGGGGCTCTCTCGGCCGGCTGGCCCAAACGGTTACCTCAAGGGCGGGAGTCCCCGAACTGCGGCAGTGAGGTGAAGAAGGCATGCTTGGAATGACCTACGTAAGATACAAGAGACCATCCTCCTCCTCCTCCTCCTCCTCCTCCTCCTCCACAGTTACACAATATGAAAATACTCTCCCACTTCCCCTGATGGCGTCCCGAAGATATCCGACCCCCCCCCGCGTATTGTTTTTTACACACAGGATTCCCGGGAAACGGGTTTTCGCTTGCGTTTTTTCCCAACATGCTGCTCTCGCTGAGGCGCCGGCCTCATTTCTGCTCCCGAATCGTTCCGAATCGTGCTCCCGCTGCAGCGTGGGCCTCATATTCGGATCGGTGTTTTGCCTCCGTCGTTCAGGATGGCGTTCTCGCCCCAGCGCGGGCCTCTTTCTTGCGCGCCCATCCGCCCGCCACCACCGCGCCGAACTACGTCCCGCCCCGCCGCACGCACACCCACCGCCACTTCCACCCACCAACGCACGCACGCACGCACGCGCACCACCACCGCGCACCGCCACCACCACCGCACTACCCCACCCACCACCACCACGCTACACCGCGTCACACCACAACACACGCGCGCACACACAGACACACACGCACGCACGCACGCACGCACGCACGCACGCACGCACGCACGCACGCAAGCACGCACGCACGCACGCACGCACGCACGCACGCACGCACGCACGCACGCACGCACGCACGCACGCACGCACGCACGCACGCACGCACGCACGCACGCACGCACGAACGCACGCACGCACGCACGCACGCACGCACGCACGCACGCACGCACGCACGCACGCACGCACGCACGCACGCACGCACGCACGCACGCACGCACGCACGCACGCACGCACGCACGCACGCACGCACGCACGCACGCACGCACACGCGCGCGCGCACGCACACGCACACAGACACACACACGCACACGCACACAGACACGCCCAAGACCACACACACAGGACACCACACAACAGACACACACACAGAACACACACACAGACACACGCACACACAGACACACACACAGACACACACACACACAGACACACACAAACACACACACACACATACACACACACAGACAGACACACACACAGACACACACACACAGACACACACACAGACACACACACAAACACACACACAGACACACACACAGACACACACACACACAGACACACACACACAGACACACACACAGACACAGACACACAGACACAGACACACACACACACAGACACACACACAGACACACACACACAGACACACTCACAGACACCGACACACACACCGACACACACACAGACAGACACAGACAGACACACACAGAGACACACACACACACATAGACACACACACAGAGACACACACAAACAGAGACACACACAGAGACACACACAGAGACACACACAGAGACACACACACACAGACATTCACAGAGACACACACAGAGACACACACGGAGACAAACACAGAGACACACACACAGAGACACACACAGAGACACACACAGAGACACACACAGAGACACACACAGAGACACACACAGAGACACACACACAGAGACACACACACAGAGACACGCACAGAGACACACACACAAAGACACACACAGAGACACACATAGAGACACACACACACACAGAGACACACATAGAGACACACACACAAACACACACAGAGACACACACAGAGACACACACAGAGACACACACACAGAGACACACACAGAGACACACACAGAGACACACACAGAGACACAGAACACGAGGACCACAGACAGAGGACACACACACAGAGACACACACAGGAGACAACACAGAGACACACACAGAGACACACAAACAGAGACACACACAGAGACACACACACAGAGACACACAGTGATGGCACGAATGAACAGCAGAGAGGACACACGAGAGACACACAGAGACACACAGAGAGACACACAGAGAGACACACAGAGAGACACCACACACACAGAGACACACACAGAGACACACACAGAGACACACCCAAAGAGACACACCCAGAGACACACACAGAGACACACACAGAGACACACACAGAGACACACACAGAGACACACACAGAGACACACACAGAGACACACACAGAGACACACACAGAGACACACACAGAGACACACACAGAGACACACACAGAGACACACACAGAGACACACACAGATACACACACAGAGACACACACAGAGACACACACAGAGACACACACAGAGACACACACAGAGACACACACAGAGACACACACACAGACACACAGAGACACACAGAGACACACAGAGACACACAGAGACACACAGAGACACACAGGGACACACAGGGACACACACAGAGACACACACAGAGACACACAGAGACACACAGAGACACACAGAGACACACAGAGACACACAGAGACACACAGGGACACACACCTTGGACACACAGGGACACACACCTTGGACACACAGGGACACACAGGGACACACAGGGACACACAGACAGACACACAGACACACAGAGACGCACAGAGACACACAGAAACACACAGAGACACACAGAGACACACACAGAGACACACACAGAGACACACACACAGAGACACACACAGAGACACACACAGAGACACACACAGAGACAACACAGAGACACACAACACAGACACACATAGAGACAAAACACACGGAGACACACCACGGAGGAACACCAGAGACACACCACCGAGACACACACAGGACAACACAGAGACAACACACAGAGACACACACAGAGACACACCACAGAGACACACACAGAGAAACACAACAGAGACACACAGAGACACACAGAGACACACAGAGACACCACAGAGAACAGAGACACACAGAGGACACACACAGACACACAGAGACACACAGAGACACACAGAGACACACAGAGACACACAGAGACACTCAGAGACTCACAGTGACACACAGAGACACACAGAGACACACAGAGACACACAGAGACACACAGAGACACACAGACACACACACACACAGACATACACACAAACACACACGCGCACACACGCGCACACACACGCACACACACGCACACACACGCACACACACACGCACACACACGCACGCACGCACCCGCACACGCACACGCACACGCACACGCACACGCACACGCACGCACACGCACACGCACACGCACGCACGCGCGCACGCACGCCACGCACACCACACACACGCACGCACGCCACGCACGCACACCCACACACACACACGCACGCACACATAAAACACACACACGCACACACGCGCACCACGCACGCACGCACGCACACACACACGCACCACACGCACGCAGCACACGCACACACCGCACGCCACACACGACGCACCGCGCGCGCACGCGCCCGCGCGCGCGCACGCGCAACGCGACGGCACACGCACGCGCACGCGTCGAAGCGGCACGCGTCACCGCACGCACACGCACACCGACACACGCCCACGCACCACCACACGCACACGCACACAAACACACACACCAAAACACCCAAAACACACCAACACACCAACATCACCCAACCACACCACCCTCCAACACCCCAACACACAACACACCAACACACCAACACACCACACACACCAACACACCGACAAACCGACACCCAAAACACCAACAACACAAACACCACCAACACACCAACACACCAACCACACCAACACACCCAAACACACCAACACACCAACACACCAACACACTACCACACCAACCACAACCACCACACCAACACCACCAACACACCCACCACACCAACCACACCAGCACACCAACACACCACCACACCACCACACCCCCACACCACCACCCCACCACACCCCCACACCACACACCACCACACCACCACACCCAACACACCAGCACACCAACACACCAACACAACCAACACACCACACCACCACACCAACACACCAACACACCGACACACCAACACACCAACACACCAACACACCACCACACCAACACACCACCACACCACCACACCACCACACCACCACACCAACACACCAACACACCAACACACCAACACACCAACACACCAGCACACCAGCACACCAACACACCAACACACCAACACACCAACACACCAACACACCAACACACCAACACACCGACACACCGACACACCATCACACCATCACGCCAACACACCAACACACCAACACACCAACAC